TGAAGAGCATGGTTTTATTGAGTAACTAAATAAAAAGAATGCATTAAATAATATCTAAATGAATGGACTCACTATTGAACATACAAATTGCTTCGCATCTTGCACCAACCAAGTTGAATAACAATATTAACAAGTTTAAATATATTTTGAATGGAAAGTACGACCTAAAGATTGCTACCCCTCGTTATTTAATAGGAATAGATTTATATTAAATGAAGTGTTGCGTGGGAATAATACGCTTAGGTACATATTGGGTGATAAGTAAAACCTATTTAGCATTTGTATTAACATAGTTATCCCTTGTTATTTTAGAGGAACCACATGCATTTATGTTTAAGTATTATATAAAATTAAATTTAATCTAAATGAACTGACCAAGCAAAAATATTTGCCGGAAACAATTGAAAATTTTTATTTAATAATTTGGCTTTGGGTTGCTTAGGAAATTGTGAAATCACTGATTTTGATTAAGTGCTTAATTGGTAATTTGACAATTAAGCATAAAGAAGAGTAGTGGGCCCGGCCACTCATTCGAAACAAGAAATGAACAAAAGAACTTTTTCACCGCATAGGATTTGCTTGATTCACTGCCTTTCGTCTTTTGTTGCCCTGATCTAGCAAGATTTTATTTTTCCTCCTCAGCGCTCACACCCTGCACTTCCTTGTTGTCCTTCCTTACCCAGTTATCAATAGGTTCATATTAATCATCATCATCATCATAAACACCTAATTTTCACCTAAGGTTTGACCAAGATTGACCGGTTTTCATCTATCTTGGAGAGTATGCTCCTCTCAAATCCAAGGATGTTTAGCTTGAGAAATACTACGTTTGACCCCTTTTTCTTGTGTCACTTTTTTTTGGAGGGATGGGACATTTTGATACATGCTGCCTTGTGCACTTTAGAAATGTTCAAGATAAAATTAAATTCCATATCTCTACATCAATATTGATATATTTGGCTCCATCTTTTTATCAATTGGCAAATGGCTAACTTGGATATATTTTCATTAATTTATATAATTATGGAATAATTAAGCTGGTCGTCTATTGGTTTTTGTGCCTAGTGCTTAACGCTGTGGCGGACTTGAGCCAATATGTTTTTCCCAAGGCGTGTTGACCTAGAATAAAAGTAGTTTTCCAAGTAATTACGTGGTGCACGCTTATGTTGACTTGGAATTCTTCTTGCCCCAAGACAAAGAAAAATATTGGGCGGTGGATGGGGCCACGTATGTGTGAGAGATACAAGGTGATGAATTTTTCGTATTAATTATTACAATATTTTGTATTGAAAAAAAAATTAATCTCTTAAATATTTTATTCATCGTATGAATTATTTTGCAAATCAGCACTTGTCAATTGTAATTTCTTCTTCCAACTAATTTCATTTTTTTGACAAACCGGGTGTATTATAGAGTTGAGCACTCCTAAATAGTAGCTTCAATGTTTTTTGTTTTTAATGGAGATGCATTAACTACGAGGAGCACTCCTAAATAGATTCATATTAATCACCATCATATATACCTAATTCGTATAAAGGCTTGATCACTACGTAGTTGCTCTTTCAAAGGAATAGGTCCTGATCCTAGGACCGAAGACGAGATGCTATGATCATCGCTGATATCAATGCATCCATCACTCCCGAACTCGCAGGTGATTTTGAGGAGGGTGGCTCGTCGGCTGCCAAGAATGACCACGGGCATGGTTTAGCGTTCTGCAGGCAGGTGAGTGAAAGGGTGACAACAAGGGGATGATCAAGGATTTGGAGCGGGAAAGATAAGAAATGTGCAAAGGTCAAGGAAGGAACTAGAAAGACTTGTCGTGGAGTTGAAAAGTCTGACATAAAAAAGAAATTAAACAAGAGGAAAGACAAAAATACGGAGCAGTGATGTTTTTCAAAGTGATCTTCACCTTAAAAATCGTGTAGTAAGGGCCATAGAAATATTTACCCTCTTATCAGTCCTTCTGCAACATTGGCTGCTCTCAAATAATAAAATTTATCAGTGGTCGATGATGCATCAGCAGCATGTTTCTTGTCATGCATTGCAAGTCGCTGTCCATGTCCCATCATATATATTTAGTGAATCGTCCCCCTATATCTGCCCATTGTATTCATTTACTGGCACGGTAGTGGGTTCCATCTATTTTCTCTTCTTCCCCGAGCTTTTGAGCTGACGATGGAAGCTCAATTTCAATTAAAACAGAAGAATGCTTCAAAAATCTGCGACGGGACTCTTAGGCTCCGGATTAGTAAACAAAAGCCTTACGAAGTATAGTCAAAGCTAAAGCTATTGAAAAACAAATCTCATCTTTCATTAACCTTCATTCAAATATAAGATAAGCGATTGTTGATAATGTAACTGAAATGAAGTTTACCGGTTTGATACAATAATATTTGACAGAGTGAGAAGGAGTAAATTCTTAAGTGACATCAAGAGCTTAAATATACTCAACAAAAATAACTTTTCTGATGGAAAATAAATTAAAAAAAGAAGAAGAAAGTTCAACGGTGCAAGCGGTGGACTAAAGCGTGCCCAACATCACTGTGTATGTTTCTCTCTCTCGTCCAAGTCTCTCTCTCTCCACTTTTCATCTTCCACTTGTCCACGGAGACCAATACAGCAATTGTCTTTCATTTTTGGTTTTATTTTCTTTTTCATTGCTTCTGCATCGAAACTTGCTCACATGTTTTCTACTTCCTGAGCAAGATCGCCTTGGATTCTCCCGCGCATTGAAACTTCCACCAGATGAAGGCAGCGACAATAAATGCATGCTTAGTGGTCTCGGTCAATGAATTACAAATTTATATCTAGCTTGGTAAATTTTAATTATTGGTGCATGCTAACTGATTGGATTAAATTGGATTAAAAAAAACCGTTTGGATTAGATAAATCAAACCAATAAGAAATATATATAATAAAGTAAAAGCAAAAATGCATTTTTGATTTAGTTATGAGATTTGAAGGAGAAATCAAGGCAGAAATAGAGCAAAAAAGAAATTCTTTTCATTGTACTCGGGTACAAAATAAATAAATAAATAAATATAGTGCATGTTGATAATTTTTTATAATCCTCGAAAATTTCAGTATTGAAATGAAGTTTATCGGTTCAATAATACAATATTTAATAGGCTCAAAGTGAGAAGGGTAAATTTTTAAGTAGAATTAAGAGCATAAATATATTCAACAAAAATACCTTTTCTGATGGAAAATAAATTAACAAAAGAAAAAGGAAAGTTCAACGGTGCAAGCAGTGGACTAAGCGTGCCCTCTTCATTGTCCTACGCTTTGTTTGTTTTTATCTGTTCTGAGCACTTGTGTGGAAATTATTGGACCGGACGAATCTCTGTCTCTCTTTCTCTCTCTCTCTCCGCACTTTACATCTTCTCCTGCAACCCATGTGACAGTCTCGTCCCAAGTCTCTCTCCACTTTTATGTGTACTGAAATTTTGACAGACCTCGTCTATTATCTTTGGATTCTCCTGTGCATTGAGATTCCAGCCGCGTGAAGGCAACGACTCTAAGCCCGTCGTAGCTTGACAAGGTTGAATTATTGGTGCGATTCTGGTTTGCCTACTGGCTCCATTATGTAACTCAAGCTTGAATTATTGGTGTGCTTGTCAATTGTAATTTCTTCTTCCAACTAATTTCATTTTTTGACAAATCAGGTATATTATAGAGTTGAGCACTCCTAAATAGTAGCTTCAATGTGATTTTTATTTTTAATGGAGATGCATTAACTACGAGGAGCACTCCTAAATAGGTTCCTATTAATGACCACCATATACACCTAATTCGTATTAAGGCTTGACCACTACTTAGTAGCTCTTTCAGAGAAATAGGTCCTGATCCCATGACCGAAGACGAGATTCTATGATCATCGCTGATATCAATGCATCCGTCACTCCCTCGCAGGTGATTTTGAGGAGGGTGGCTCGTCGGCCACCAAGAATGACCACAGGCGTGGGGTTTGGGTTCTGCAGGCATGTGAGGGAAGAAGCGACAACAAGGGGAAGAAAGATCAGGGATTTGGAGCGAGGAAGATAAGAAATGTGCAAAGGTCAAGGAAGGAACTAGAGAGAGAGTTGTCGTCAGAATTGAAAAGTCCGACCTGGAAAAGAAATTAACAAGAGGAAAGACAAAAATATTGAGCATTGATGTTTTTCAAAGTGGTCTCCACCTTAAAAGGCATGTAGTAAGAGCTATAGAAATCAGGATATGAAGCCGCTAGGGTTTTCCTGTTAATTGTCCGAAGGCTTTATATATATGGCAGATTTTAGGATAAGCGATAGTTAATAATACAACGTCTTAGTAGTGAAATGAAGTTTAGAGATTTGATGCGACGACATTTAACATGCTCAAAGTGAGAGGGCTAAATTCCTATATGGGATCAAGGGCATAAAATTTATTCAACAAAATAACTTTTCTTATGGAAAATAAATTAATGAAAAAAGGAAAGTTCAACGGTGCAGCAACCATCCCGAGGCTTTGAATGTATTTATCAATTATGACCACTTGTCCACGGATACCAATACCAGCAATTGTTTTTTATTATTTGGTTTTATGTTTTTTTTCATTGCTTCTGCATCGAAACTTGCTCACATGTTTTCTTCTTCCTGGGCGGGGTCGTCTTAGATTCTTCTGTGCATTGAAACTTCCACCGCATGAAGCCAACGACCATAAACGCATGGTTAGTGGTCCTGGTCCAGGAATTACTTATCTAGCTTGCCAAGTTTGAATTATTGGTGCGTGCCTTAAATCAAACCCATAAATAAATAAATATAAATAATGAAGTAACAGCAAAAGCGAAAAGGCATTTTGATTTATTTCTGAGATTTGATGAGGAAATTAAGGTAGAAACAGAGTAAAAAGGAAATTCTTCTCATTATGCTCGAGTACAAAATGAATATATATATATATATGGTATGTTGATAATTTTTTATGATCCTCGACATGCGTTAACAATCTCAAAGTGAGATGGGCTAAATTTCTAAGTGGGATCAAGAGCTTAAATATATTCAACAAAAATACTTTTTCTAATGGAAAATAAATTAACATAAGAAAAAGGAAAGTTCAACGGTGCAAGCAGTGGACTGAGTTCAACTGAGACTCGCCTTGGATTCTCTTGTGCAATGAGATTTCCGCCACGTGAAGGCCACGGGGTTGACGAGCTTGACTTGTTGGTGCGATTGTGGCTGCCGACTGGTTCCCTTATATAAATCAACTATAAGAGGATGGGCAACAAGAAGGCATTTCCTGTTTCCCGAGAGGCATTCTGGCTTTTTTCTCCGTCAGACTTGAATGCCAAAATCAAGGGCAGAGTAAGAGCAAAGCCAAAATGCATAGTCCCTTTAAGAAGATGAAAACTAGTGCGTGTGGAAATGCAGAAGACGTTGATGCTGGCGCAGCTGGTTCGATGGCCACGCCAATAGAAACTAACAACAGTGCATCTAGTTCATTGACTGCGTCGACTGGAAACAGCTACGAGGTGTTCTTGAGCTTCAGAGGCATAGATACTCGGAAAGGCTTCACCGATCACCTCTACCACGGGCTCCTCAATGCCGGAATTGATGTTTTTAGAGACAATGACGAGCTCCCCCAAGGCGAGAATATCAGACCAGAGCTTTTGGCAGCCATCACGAATAGTAAAATCCTGATCCCCATTCTCTCCGTGAATTATGGTACAAGCAGTTGGTGCCTAGATGAGCTGATTCAAATAATGAAGTGCAAGAATAATAATGGGCACATAGTGTTGCCTATATTTTATAAAGTGAAACCAGCTGACGTGGGACATCAAATCGGGAGTTTTGGAGATGCATTTCATGGGCGTGAGGAGCGTTTGCTCGAGAGGCATTTCGACCCAACGATTTTAGAGAAATGGAAGCAAGCACTCCTTGAAGTCAGCGCCTTGAAAGGATACGAAACCGATGGGTAAAACATTCTCTACTTTTTTTTAATATGTTTGGGTGTTTACTGGTTGTTCTTATTCTCACCTGCTTCATTTTCGTTCTTTCTTTTATATAAAAAAAAAGTAAGATTTTGCTAGCAGTAAGATCCTGCGATGCATGCATTCTATAAGTTATTCTTTTTTTAGTTTTTGCTTTAATGATATCGACCAATCTAATTATAGATTTTATTGATATGATCCCATTCACTTGACTAAGAAGAATTTTTGAATGAATTTTTACTCTTATATCCAAAGATTTTGTAACATTGGGCCATTTCTTTTATCATGTTTATAGTGTACGTTACATTATGTAAAAGTTCACAAATAAGGAGAAACTCCCTCAGTTGTATTCAGGTAGTTCACTACATATCACTTCAAACAATTCCCTCAATTTCTCTTGCATCAGAAGTAATGTCATATTTATTGAACGATGGTTGGACCCTGGTACATGCTGGCTTATTGGACTTCTTATTCAAACGCTCTAGAAAAATTTCAAAGTCACATCCTATCATCCACGTCATCCTTGATAGCTTTAACTAACAAGAAGTTTAAATTTTGATTCAAATTTATAACATCTTCATTTCAAAATTCGTTAGTGATATCCTCAAGTTTCTTCCGGCTCGAAAATTATGTCAAAGTAATAATGGATTAGGGCACGCCATGCAGAGCAGCCACCAACATTTCTCGCTTTAGTCTTAGCATGTAAGATAATACATGGAGTTGTGACCAAAGCAATTTTTTAAGTTTTTTAATTTATCCCCAAATTTGTTTATTATTGTGTTCTCAGTAGATAAATAACATGAAATGGCTATTGCCACATGTTTGAACTTGTCACATTTGATAGGTATGAAGGAGAATTGGTGAAATCGATCGTCCAAAAAGTGTTGAGCAAGCTAAAGAAAGAGTTTGCGTTGGTTATTCCTGAAAATTTGGTCGGAACCGATGGTCATGTGAAGGAGGTTATGAAATTTGTAGATAATAATTCTAGTGCTACCCTATTTATTGGAATCCATGGAATGGGAGGCATTGGTAAGACAACTCTTGCTAAAACCATCTACAACAAGCTCTCCGATCAGTTTAAGTATCGTAGCTTCATTGCAGATATTAGGGAATCATGTCAGCGTAATGGACTTGAGTACTTGCAGAATCAACTAATCTCTGACATATTGAACCAAAAGAATCAAATTTCTAATAAGGATGACGGGACTAAGTTCATCTCATCTAAGTTCAAAGATAAGAAAGTTCTTGTTCTTCTTGATGATATGGATGATGTTGATCAGCTGAAGGCTTTGGCTGGAAATCATAATTGGTTTTCTTCCGGAAGTAGGATCCTTATAACCACTAGAAAAATTAGTGTTCTTGACAATGAACGGGTGGACTTCAAATATGAACATGAGGTAATGGATGAGAAGCATTCTATGATTTTGTTTAGTAGACATGCATTTCGAAGGAATTCTCCTCCAAGTGAATTTGAGGACCTTGCTCATGGTGTTGTAACTACCACTGGAGGCCTTCCCTTATCTCTTGAGGTTTTAGGTTCATTTTTGTGCGGAAAAAAGCCAGCATTATGGAGAGGTACAATAGACAAGTTAAAAAAAGTCCCTCATAAGAAAGTGCGAGAAAAGTTAAGGATAAGTTATGAAGAATTAGATTATGGACAAAAACAAATATTTTTGGATATTGCTTGTTGTTTTATTGGCACTGACAAACGAATCGCATCCTATATGTGGGATGCCTGTGGCTTTTACCCAGAAGAGGGAATTGAAGTATTGATATTCATGTCATTAATAAAAATTGGAGATCATCATAAGTTTATAATGCATGACCAACTGAGAGATCTTGGGAGGGAAATAGTTCGCGAGGAAAACCAACAGCAGCCTCATTACCGTAGCAGATTGTGGGATTCCAAGGAAGTCCTGAAAGTGCTAAACGAAAATAAGGTATTGTTTGTCCTCTACTTGTTGCTTGCTCTAGCGAACAGAGAACTTATACTATGATTGCCCTCGAATGTTTCATTGACATGATTAGAAAGTAGGGAAGTTTCTCTCTCTTAACAAGTATTGTAGTGTTATCTGAGACTTTTCTTAAATTGCATATTATGAAAAGATCTTGAACTTCAATAATTGCTTCATTTGCATCTTCGACACAGACATTACATAACTTGACTATGCTACTATAAACCATAAGTACTCAGGATATATAAATCATAGAATTATAATCTCTTGATGTTAAAATTAATATAATACGACTCACGATGCCCGCATTTCTCATGAAATTTTAGTATTTATTCCATAATGGAGAATGGAAGGGATACTTATTTTATGTTATATTATGTTAGGAATTCCATTTACCAATATTCATAGCTAGGACAAGGACTGATTTAAAACTTACCGAATAAGATAGGAACATAAATCCCTTATACATAATATAAATGCGCGTCTATATATATATAATATCAAGCGTATTTTATGCAACGACTATTCACTACAAAAAAAACTGGATTTTGCCACGAAAATTTACGACGAAAAAATTTTCGTCGCAAATTTGCAACAAATTTTCCAACGAAAAGTAAAATTCGTCGGAAATTAGCGACGAAAAATTTTTCGTCGCAAAATTCGTTGGAAATTTCCAACGAAAAATTTTTCGTCGCAAAATTCGTTGGAAATTAGCGACGAAAAATTTTTCGTTGGAAATTTCCAACGAATTTTGCGACGAAAATTTTTTTGTTGGAAATTTCCAACGAATTTTGCGACAAATTCAAAAAAACCCGGTATTGTTCAGCATTTTTTTAATTCGTGGGAAAATTCGTTGGGAATTTCCAATGAATTTTACAACGAAAATTGTACACACTGAAATAATTGCCCGGAAAATTGAAATTCGTGGGAAAATTTGTTGGAAATTTCCCATGAATTTTGCAACGAATTTGAAAGATGCCACATGTACTAATTTTGTCGCAAAATTCGTTGGAAATTTCCAACGAATTTTCCCACGAATTTAAAAAATGCCGAATAATACCGGGTTTTTTTGAATTCGTCGCAAAATTCGTTGTAAATTTCCAACGAAAAATTTTTCGTCGCAAAATTCGTTGGATATTAGCGACGAAAAATTTTTCGTTGGAAATTTCCAACGAATTCAAAAAAATTAGCAACGGCGAGCGTTCTAGGCGAGCTCGAGCTCGCCCATATCTAGCCAAGTTCTGGGCAACCTTGAGCTCGCCGGCCATGGCGAGCTCGGCCCTCGCCATGGCCGGCGAGGCCCAGCCTCATTGCCGGCGAGCTCGAGGTTGCCCAGATTTGGGCAAGCTAGAGCTCGCCCGCCATGGCGAAGCCCAGCCTCGTCGCCGGCGAGGGCCGAGCTCGCCGGCCATGGCGAGCTCGGCCCTCGCCGGCGACGAGTCCGGGCCTTGTCGGCCATGGCGAGGGCCGAGCTCACCATGGCCGGCCGAGCTCAAGTTCGCAAAGATCCGGGTGACCTCGAGCTCGCCGGCGGCGAGTCTGGCCCTCTCCCGCACGATTTTTGTCACGATGAAACTAATTATGCCACGATTTTTTGAAAAAAAAAAATTTTGCCACATTTTTGCAACGAATAATTAGGGACGAATTTTGCGACGAAAAAATTTCGTCAGAAATTACCAACGAAATTTATATTTTTTGTCTGAAAAATTTGCGACGACGAATTTTTGTTCGACGGAAATTTCATTGGATTTCCAAATTTTTTGTTGGAAAAAGGTTGTTTTTTGTAGTGTTTCCAACGAATTTAGCCACGAATTTTCCAACGAAAAAAATTTCGTCGCAAACTTCCAACGAAAATTGAAATTTTTCGTTGGAAAAATTTGCAATGAAGAATTACCAACGAATTTTTTTTCGTTGGAAATTCGTTTTCCAACGAATTTTTCCGAATTTTGCGTTGGAAATTTCGTTGGAAAAAAGATGTTCTTTTGTAGTGATTTAAAAGAGAAATGTTTTAATTTTTCTTCATAAAAAGTCCAAGAGATAAATATTCAAATTCTATTTTGTATAATTAAGTATGTGATTGTATTGCATTTGTGAAGTTAATCATAATTTTGACTCCACTACTTTTAATCCATCATTTGGGCTGACTCAAGTTGTTGCTCAAAAGACTAGCACTTATTTACGATCTCAACGGGCGACCCATGTATAATCTCATGATCCAATTCATATATCAACAAATTCAAAGCCAATGTCTATTTATTACGTCTTTCGTACTACATGATTAAATAAACTAAACTAACCAAAAGAAAAATGAATATGCTGTACATTTTATATACAAGTAAAATGGTATATCTAAATTTTACAACTAAAACGGTACATTTTTATATAATTATTTTAGTATTTTTGCATAACTCCATTTCGCTCTTCATCCACGGTACTATCTTACAAAGAAGCCCAGCCTTTTGCATATGGGATGAAAATAACATTACCTTTCAAACTCATCTTGTTACTCATGGGACAAAAATGACACCCGCCATCAATTCTTCCTACTCTCACTTTGAATTGCCCCACATCATCCTACATAGCTCATTGTGCGAACATAAACAATGAACCACCTTAATCATGACCACAAATGACTTCTTCTTTTTTTACAAAAAGCCGGAAATTTTGTAAGAAAGATCATAAACAAAGTTTGTTAACAGGATTATAAAATAAAACACTACGTCTTTTTTGGTGTGGGTTAACATGGCTCATTGTATCCATTAGGACCGTGACCAATGTAAGGGTATCACGGCGATTTAACCATGATAATGGATGAAATTTGTAATAGGTGTTGGTTTTGTTTTACAGTTAAATAGTTGAGCTATTTTTATTATGTTTGAAAGGTTTGTTATTTTTGTCGCGGATGCCGAAGGTTAGGCTTTATAGACTTTTGAAAGGTTTTGCTACTTTTATCCCAAGTACAAAAAGGTCGGGCTTATTTCCGGGATTTGGCCAAACTCTAGCTATCGATTTTTGAAGGTGAAAAAAGTTACAAATCACACAAAGAAATCTTGAAGATAGATAGGGTATATTGATATTTTGAGAGGGAAGTTTATGGGGGAATGACTAATGTGAGTAGATTACTTCCGTTGAAGATTTCTTCCTTTTTTTTTCTTTTTAAGTTACTCTTCTCTTGGATTCCTTTTAGGTGTTGAGATCTAATTCCTTTCCAAATTATTATGTCAATCACCTATGAGTATCCAGGAAATTTTGTACAGCATTGTGAATTACAATAACAAAATTTTTTGTTCGGAGAAACTTATATGGAAATCCATGAACTTTCTGTTTTTCTTCTTGATTTCTTATGCCTAAGTGATTTTTTTTTTCTTGTGAAAGCTTACTACACATTTGGTTCTTAGGAAGAACTATTCTATTTCCAATCTATTCCAATAAAGCAATTAGTCCTTCATTTTGTTCAAAAATAGATTAGAAACTACTAATTTTTCCCAATCAGAAATAGTTATTCCTGGGGGGCCAAGGAAAAGCTATTCCATGTAGGCTTGTAGCCAAGAGGAGCTTCAATTTTCACATTGCAAAAATGCTTTGCACTTTCAACAATTAATTATTTTGATATACATCAAAGTTGTTGGGGTCTGTTTATTATATTTATTATACTTGAGTTACTCAATTATTTATGATTATGATTATATCAGATTGTAATCTATAGTTAAACTTAAATTAATGATAAAATAATAAGCTATAGAGAGTATTAATATAACTAATAAGTTGTTTATGATTATGAATATATCAAAATGTAATCTATTGCTTAACTAAAATTTATGATAAAATAATAATTTGTAGAGAATATTAATATAACTAATATTATTGTCATAGTTATTTATATATATTTATATTAGAATTGATCAAATCAAAATTTTGGTTTTGCACATTGCAATTTGATCAAATTTCGCGCATTGCACGCATGTCCCAACTAGTATGGTAATGAAGCTACGGCACCGGAAAGAAGAAGATTACAACTTGTAAAGTTTTTACTCTATATGAGGCATTACGTCATAATTCTTTTTAAGACCCCGAATGCTAATGGCCGAATTTATAATGGAAGTTGACATCCTTCGCTTTGTTGGCCCTTATAAATATTGTTTATTGGCGTAAAGAATTGATGTCTTCACATTCCTAGTCTCTTGAACTCATTAATGCACGCCAGTAGCAATATGAACAAATAATATTTAGATTACTTTAGCTGGATATAGCATTAATGGACGCTGATTCTTGCTTATAGGGAACAGAAAAGATTGAGGCGATTATTTTGAGTAAAGGCAGCTTAGAAGGCTCCAACAAAATGGCTGAGCGAGATGGCGACATTTACACAGCAAAACAATTCAAGAATTTGACGAATCTAAAATTCCTTCACATGGAGGGGGCACAACTTAATGGAGATTTTAAAGACTCAATGGAGGAATTAAAATGGCTTCGATGGCAAAAATGTCCCATGAATTTTGAAGTAAAAAATTTTCTTGTAACGGAATTAGCTGTACTCGAATTGCAAGACACCAAGATAAATGAGAAATGGGAAGGATGGAGTTTTTTCAAGGTAAGAATAAGTCTTTTTTTTTCTTCCTTTTATGCTTTCTTTTGAATTAATCCCTTGACAATCATTATTATTTTTATTTTACCAGATGGCAGAGGGGCTCAAATATCTCAGCCTCACGGGTTGTGAATTCTTGCAAAATACGATCTTCCTCTCCGCTTTTAAGCATTTGGAGGTTCTCATCCTCAGTCAGTGTGACGGACTGCACCAGATCGATCCTTCAATTGGAGACATGAAGGCGCTCCTTCGCTTGGATTTGAAGGAGTGTCGGTTCCTTAGAAAGCTTCCAGCAGAAATAGAGTCTCTGGAGAATCTAGAGATTCTGGATATTTCTGGAACCGGCATAGAAGAATTACCCAAGGGTATTGGGAGGTTGAGAAAGCTCCGAGAGTTATGCGCTCCTTGTTGCAAAGATCTGAAAGGGGAATTGCCGGAGACCATGAGCAATCTTTCTTCCCTACAACGTCTTGATGTTCTTTACTGCGACCAGCTCCAATCGTTGCCGGACGACCTTCCTTCCAGCTTAACAGATTTGGGCGTCACCTGTGGAAGCCGCAAATTGCCCTCACTTTCCCACCTAACCCATCTCAAGCGACTACAAGTTGGTTGTTGCGAAGTTCTGGAGTGCATCAAAGTGCTTCCATCAACACTATCGAAGAATTCAGAATGCTCCCAACCGACAGACATTGAAGAATCAGAATTACCACAATCCCTAAACACTCCCTTCGACTTGGAAATCTTAAAAGTTTGGGTATGTCGATCTATTAAAACAGTGGACGTTTCACAGTTTATCCATCTAAGGACATTAGAGGTCTATGATTGCGAGAATCTAGTTGAAGTTCGAGGTCTTGAACTTGACAAATTGATATATTTGGAAAACTTGTCTGTCGCAAAGTGCAGTTCAATTGAGAGGCTAGACCTTCCAAAATCCGGGAGTTTGAAGAGATTAGATGCTAGATGGTGCAATAAATTAGCCGAAATTCAAGGCCTCGATAGGTTGGAGTTTTTGGAAAGCCTAGATATCTCTTACTGCTTTTCCATTGAGAGGCTGCTCCTTCCAAAATCCAAGAGCCTGAAGAAATTAAATGCTCCATTGTGCACGAAATTAGCCGAAATTCAAGGCCTTGATAGGTTGGAGCTTTTGGAAAGCCTGGATATCTCGATGTGCCTTTCCATTGAGAGGCTGCTCCTTCCAAAATCAGGGAGTTTGAAGAGATTATATGCTGGACGGTGTTGGAAATTAGCCGAAATTCAAGGCCTCGATAGGTTGGAGTTTTTGGAAAGCCTGGTTGTCTCTAAGAACGTTTCAATTAAAAGGCTAGACCTTCCAAAATCCGGGAGGCTGAAGATATTAGATGCTTATGCATGCAAAAACTTAGCCGAAATTCAAGGCCTCGATAGGTTGGAGTTTTTGGAAGAACTGAGGATCGGTGGATGCGGGTCACTCAAAACAATTCCAGAATTATTTGGAGTGCGGATTTATCGAAATTACGAGTGAAAGTCAATTGGATATCCATTTCGGTCAACCGTGTGAGTAATATACTGGAAATGGTCCATATTTTCTAACTAAGGGTACATAAAGCAGGTAAGTTACCTTTGCTCTTTTGAGATCTACCACCCAATTTTCATTTGTATTTCCTGGTTGACAGTGTCATGATTGTATCCTTACTTGGATTCAAGGTATTCGGGGGAGATGTTCATGGAAGTCAATGTGTGCTTTGGCAATATGATTCTGCTTATCATGCCAGCAACGAAAATAGAAGAAAAGGCTTTCTAAGCACATCATTTGTCATTAGTCTTCGGGTAGGATCCTTCATCCTATGCAGAAAAATAAAGATTCTCAACGTTTGATTGATTCTGGAATGTTGGAGGTACTGAATAAAAACTGATGTATACAGGTATCTGATAGCATGCCAAAGGTTATCGTATAGGCCGAGAAATGCTAAATGAAGGACCCTATATGGCAGTCCTTCTAATGTGAGGTTTTAGTTTGCTTTGCACTCATCATGCAGTTCGTGACTGCATGTTTCTAAGGTACCCTTACGAGTGAATTTACGGTGCAAAAGGAGCATGTTGACAGGGCATCCCTTAGTATGCATACGCTACTGACTTGGGATAAAATTTGTCCAACCATTATGTTCCACACATTTTACGCTTGCATTGTCTCTGAATCAAATCCGCCTGCAAACTGCATACGGACAGAAATGAAACAAACACCATTCTTCCAAAGAAAGCATCTTGATGTTTGTAGAGTTGGTAAAGCCATCTGTCATATACCTGAACTTTTGAGCCAAGCAAGAAATTAACTAGAATGTCTTTTGACAGAATCAACTGTACTGTGAAATAATCCATTATATTGTGCATAAGCTCTTGTTAGTGCATTTACATGCTAAAAATAAAAAAAAGGAAGCAATTCCATAAGTTTCCTCAGGAAATGTTTCGGTGTCCTATATGCCATTTGAAAACTGTCTTGCATCAATTCTAATGCATGAATAGCACATAATGATGAGAAAAGGATCATACCATGCCCCACAAAAGCAAGCAACTTGTGTTGAATTCACTATTCTAATTTGATCAAGGCTTCTGTGGTTGCTAATGGCAGATGCCCCATTAGTTGGATCCAGAGAGTTCAAAAAGGATATCGAGTTTGACAAACATAGATCCGTAAACTTCAGAGTATTATTAGTAGTTTGGTGATCTTAGTTGCTGGACTGATTTCATCTGACTCACTGGCAGAATTCGGTTATCATTCCATTGCTTGATGTAAATGCTGAAATATCCAAGAGAGCTTTCCCAAGGCTTTTCAAAAAGGAATCAAAATCATCAAAGGTTCTGGAGCTCGATGTTCCAGGAACTTGTCCAAACCCTGACAATACATCCTTGGAATGGTAAAGGTTGTCAGCATATTGTCATCCCACGTTGCCCGTATTATATCTGACAGAAGCTTTTCGGAGCTGAAACTGTCAGCCTCCACTCCTGTAATCAAGTCAGTTTGTCTGTCTCTCTTATTTTCTCTCCAACCTGTTCCTCTTCTACAATATTCTCTGCATACTCTCGGACTCGCTGGCTTCTCAGGTTAAGCTCCCATTCGACGTGCTTTTGCGACCTAATGGGCGGTTGACTTGACTGTTCGGCCTCTGTTTTATGATATTTATTTGATTTCTAATTGGCAGGTGAAGATGGCGGAGTGGAATCCGGAGAAGGATTTGCTGGCCATAGTCACGGAGGATGAGAAGGTGGTGCTTCATCGCTTCAATTGGCAGAAGCCGTGGACAATTTGAGAAAGTTCTCTTTTTTTCTATTGAGTGTGTTCTTGTCTTCAACGATGGCTTATTGTGCCCTCTAAGTCATTGGCCTTATCTTGTTTTACTTCTTTCGCTTTTCCTAAATGTGTTGCGCTTCCTTCTGGTCCAAATTGCATTCGATGGAGAATTGGTCAAACATAGAGGTAAAGTGCTCGAATGTCTGAACGAGAAGACCACGTTGAACTTAAGGAATTGGTGTTTTACACAAAAATGAAGAGTGAATGATGGTGATACAAGATGAAATTTAGAGATGAATTAGTTGCAAGTAAATAATTCCAAGCTGATATCTGTTGAATGGAGGGACTTTTATTTATAGCAGCGATACATTCCTGTCAACTTCTAGACAAGGTTGGTGCCTTAGGGGATTTTTTTCTATATCTTAACCAATGGTCATTTAGACCAACCGGAAGGGTACCATACTCCTGTTTTGCCAACTTGTTGCCCTTTTCGGTGGACTAGTTAAAGTGTCCATGAAAAATAAAGAACTCGACTTGGAGGGGATGTCATTTATGCTAGATAGTCTAGCTCTGTCAGATGCTGAAATGCTAGATGCCAACATGGAGTTGGCAGGTTTAGCCCATGCAGAATACCATCTCAATGTCGTCAGGCATCTATACAGTTTTCCTTCGATTTCTGTTGGTGACTCACGATGTAATATTACTTCCGGCTCCTCTTCTTGTACTAATTGAGCGTTCCCTACAAGCAGAGATTTAGTATAGTCTGGAAAGTTTCTCACGTTTTGTATTGCTAAAATGTAGAGTCTAGTCTTGAAAGTTTCTCACATTTTGTATTACTTGAAAATTTATCTTCTTCTGATTACAGAGGGCATTTCGTCACATCATTATGCTAGCGTCCTGATGGCAAAGTTGTTGTCTTGGGACTAGAAGACGGTACGTTTTTACTGCATGATGTTGAAGTAAGTTTTCTATGTTATTACTTTAACATTACCATCACTACTTCTCAACTAGAAATTCTTCCTGCAACAATCCTTTATTATCAGAATGTGTTCTTCTCTGATCTCTGTCGGGAAAGATTCTGAATTGCTCAAAAGCTGCACGATGCATGCGAACAGCAAACTTGCTCAACGAACATTTAGCTGCTAATAGAGATGGCAATCCATGTTTGTGGTTCATGTCTGCCAATGTCAAATTAAGTGGACTGATCGATAGGGCAATCTGAGTAGGATATGCTTAACAAATCTTATTAGAGTCCAATAGCCGGCGAGCTACAACGACCCTCGCCGGCCATAGTGATCAAATGCAAATGTTGATCAAGGTCGCTGTAAAGAGCCTTGTGAAAGTCATGATTACTATTGCTTGGAGAAGCCGTAAAGAGCCTTTTCTGATTTATAGTGGTTTAGGTCTTACGATATTATAAAGTCCTCTTACTTTCCCCATAATGAATAACGTCTTACAAGTTGTGTCTTTTGACTTTTTTCATTTACTCAATTCTGTGGACAGTGGTTTTTGTGATTGCTTCATGTTTATAGCTTATTTTAATCTGGTGTTTATTAACTGACTGTTTTTGCTTATACAGGTGACCGATATATATGGAAACTACCTTTCTACTGAAGAAGCTAATGGATCTAAATTGATCAAATAAAGGAGCTTTGCAAGTTATGTTAGATTTAAAGTTTGTTTATGATATTCTTTCTGGAGGTGATTCCACTACAGATGAGGAGTTGTCTAGAAGTTCAAAGCCGAAGTATTCGTTTAGGCAAAAGGATCAAAGACAGAAAAAGTCTGCCATCAGAATGTGAGTGATTTACAATTAAAATTGACTGGATGGACTGAATTGGTATAAATGCAAAATGTTTTATAACTCAATTGGCAAAAAAAAAGTTGATAGGCACAATTGTAATAAGTTTATGACCTTTTTGATAATTTTTTTTTTTTTTCATATATTCATATATCATGTCTTGATATGCTTTTTGTGGTGGGAAACATTATGGAAATTTAAGTGCATCATCATGAAAAAGACGACAAAACCACGTCATGTTTTTTAGAATGTCAATCTATCGATGTTTAAGTTTTTAGACATGACTAGTACCTGATTTGGTTAACAATTCTGTTTAGACTTAACAAAAATTCCATAATTTTGACGTATGGATCTTGAATATGTCTGCCCCTTGCCGCAGGCAGCTTTTGGCTCTAATTAGGTGACAAATACCAAAGAGCAACGCATATGGAGAGACGGAATAAGTTTTTGAGGCATTGGTGACACGAAAAAAAAAAGGCTCGGGATATTGGTGTCATACTAAACAAAATTAAGCTTGGTGGTGGAATTTTCTAAATCCACATAAGCTCTATTTACCTTCAGTTGTCCGCACAAGTCATCACATTGGATTTTTTAATGGCAAATTTGGACGGACCTGTGACAAAAGGCATTGGCATCAATGTGGACATGGGTGAAGATTTTTGGTGGTATTTCTCTGTTTGATAAACTTACTGGTGTCGGACACTAATTCCTCGACAAACCCATTTTGCAATTTGTACATTGAAGCCTGCCAAGCTTTTCCTCGACATCGACACTTACGGACACACAGAGTTAGAACTGTTTGGGTTGTCCTTAAGGGTTCAAGGAACGATTTTCACGAGTACATAATTTAGTTGATTATAGATCATGCGCAGGTGAATAGACACGTGGACAAGAAGTTAATTTGGATGATCGAGTTCCCTTCCGATTCATTTTAATGCAAGAGTATTGAATTGTCCATTTCCAATTCCGTCAACCGATAGACTACACGTATAGACCTCACGTGTGCTGATGAAGTCCAGAAAGTAGACATTATTTGGATAAAAGTCATCCCTGAATATGCATTGCTACGAATCAACAACTTAAGAGGGCTTCTTATGCAGTAAGGGTTCATTCGATCAGATATGACCTGGGGTACAAAGTCCGGCTTCAAACACCGAGAGAGCATATCGGCATAGAGCTCGTACCGAGCAGTCATTCCGAACCCCCACTTGTTTATCAGCTGCCTACAGAGGTTGAGATCCATGTGGGAGACCAACAATCCATCTATGCGACAAGATAGTTATGGCATGCACAAAGTGTCTGGAGCTGAAAAGTGACTGGATCCATAGAAGTGCCTGAAATCCGTGTGCTGTAGCTTACCGTCGCATGATGCGATCATGTTCGGAAAATGTTTGCGTTCCTACCTACTTGATTGATCTAGCCAAATAATGATCGGCAATGGCAGCATTTTCGGGCCCGTGAATTGATTTTACAATGAACACGGTAAAGTTAACCGAAGCAATAATTTGGTATGTTGATTTGAATTTGCAATTGTTCGATAAGCTCCACCTATTTGCAACAAGACATTATTTTTTTGTTTTTTGCTTTTGGTCGAAGCAATAAGAATTTAAGTGGTTTATTTTTTTCAATGTTTCCATTGTTTTCCATTTGGGCGAAAAAAAGTCATGCTAACCTTGGTGCCTATTCGAATAATTCATGAGGCATATTTCTTTCTGTTCAAATGGTAAATGAGGATCAATTATCACATTGGTTTCTTTACAAATTCACATTTCAACAACTAATCCACCACCGCATTCGTATCAACGTGATGTTTGATAAGTCTGGGCATTGTTTGACAAGGCTATTATATAGTTATAAAGTCCGGCCCGGCCCGGCCCATTTCGCCCGGATGCTTCTGTACACTCCCTCGCGGTTTGCTCCAGTAGGCAGAGCTTTCTAGCAATGGGAGACCGACGAAGAAGGGTCGCCGGCGCGTGCTTCTGTTTGAGCTTCAAGGTCGATTCGATTGTCTTCCGATTCGGTTTGGTGAGGCTGTTGCTCGATTTCTTCCGATGGGCATTAGGTGAAGATGGTGTGAGTTGAGTGGAATCCGGAGAAGGATTTGCTGGCGATGGTCACACGGAGGACTCGAAGGTGGGTGGTGCTTCATCGCTTCGATTGGCAAGAGGCTGTGGACAACCTCTCCTGGTAATTGCTTCGATTCGAGAAAGTTCTGTTTCTTTCTTTGTTCAGTGTGTTCGTTTCTTCAACGATGGCTTGGTGTGCCCTATGAGTCATTGCCCTTATCTCGTTCTACTTCTTTGTATTTAATTCGATGGAGAATTGGACGAATATAGAGGTATAAAGTGCTTGGAAGTCTAAATGATAAGGTGAACGTCGAACTAAGGAGTTTGGTCGTTCTACCCAGAAACGAAGGGTGAATGATGGTGGTGCGAATGGAAAATCTAGAGAACGAAGGAGTTGTTACCCTTTTCGGTACACCAGTTAATGTGTTCATGAAAATAAAGGACATGAATTGGAGGGGATGTCATTTATGCTAGATAGATTAGATATGTCAGATGCAGAAATGCTTAATGCCCCACTTGGAGTTGGCAGGTTTAGCCCCTGCAGAAGACCATCTAAATGTCATGAGGCATCTAAAAAGATCTTCTTAGATTTATGATGGTGACTCTCTCGATGTAATTTTACTGCTGGCTGCTCTTCTTTTACTGATTGTGCGTGCCCTACACGGAGAGATTTAGTGGATACTGAAATATAGACTATAGGCAGAAATTTTCTCACATTTTGTATTGCTTGAAGTTTAGTTAATCTTCTTCGCATTGCAGAGGGGCATTTCGCCACATCATTTTGATTAATCAAGGTCGCTGGTGGGAGTTTAACTTTTGAATAGGATATATCTCGAGCTATGCTGCGTACTTGTATGACAATCTGGTTGAGAGGGAAGGAGGGAGGAATTGGAGAAAGCAAAGGGACTAAGAGGGTAAGGGGAGCTGCATCCAAGTATGTTAAGATCCTATATGACTTAATCTTTCGGTAATTCAAATTAGTAAGATCTTAGGATTAGATGCCTAGCCTTGGTAATTCTTGCCGTCTATTCTCACTGGAAAACTTTAGAGAGGAGATTTTTTCTCCAGAAACACTTGAATGCTTCGTTCGTCATATTTTCTTCTCGATATGGAGAACGTTTTGAGTGCACTATAGTACTTGAGCCAATCCTGAATGATTTCTGTTAAGATGTGACATTCCGAAATTTCCGCTAATTGAAAATTATGAAATAACTGAATTTTATGAAATGTGCTCGTAGTAAATTTCTCGCCCGGAACTAATCACTCCTGGGAATGCTAACCATTAGGGAAAGGCTAATAAGGGAATTAAATTCGCGCCACTAAAGGAAATTCGATCGTGAATGGATTTCGACCATTAAATCACGAAAGTGATATTTTGAGCCACTGTTGGTCGATCCAAGGATAGTTAGGGGTCAGTTCGCCATTGTCCTAGTAGTGGATCGCGGGTGATTCCGTTGGACCACGAAACGACTTGACGAATGATTCTGAAATTATACCGAACGATCGTAAACCTCGGATCAAGTGATTGATTTTCGCGAATTTAATGACAACTGAGGTCGTCACGCACCGAACGGACTTGCACGTGACTCGATTTTGTATCAGTCATGAGTCGATTTCACGAATTTCCCCAGCAAGCCGCCCGTTAGCTCGAGAAACGCTCGAGTTGCGTTTAATAAAATTTAATTATTGAAATTTTACCCAAATTGGACACCGAAAAATTAGGAAGTCACGACGGAACATTAGGACGACGTTGCACGTGACACGTGTGAATTTTTGGTGCCCCCGAATCCTTCAGAAAAATTCGATTTGGACAAAAAACGGAGAAAGTGACCAAAATACCCCTATAAGTTAAATAAAGGGTTAGTTTTGTTAGACATGGGCATTTTGGTCATTTTAGGCCCTAAGTTGGATTTGACATAATTACCCTTGGATATTTTTAAGTAAGATTCGACCTGGGCCATTGATTTTAAGATAGGATCGAATCTCGACCGTTGGATCAAAAAGATTAGAAAATGATATTTTGGTAATTTGTCAAAAAGTGGTCAAAATTGATTTTTTTAAACCTTTGACCCTCTCTCTCCTCTCTCTCCCCCTCCCATTCGGACCCCCTTTTTTTACTTTTGCCGTGAACACCCCCTCCCCACCTTATACTCTCTCTCTCTCTCTCTCTCCCTTTGCCATCGCCGCCGCGCCGGACCGCCGATCGCTGGTCACGCCCGCAAGCCACCACCGTCCGCTCTCCGAACCGCACCACGTTGCCCCCCCCCAAGCCGCCGTTTTCTCTCTCTCCCTCTCGGTCTTTCTCTCTTGGCTGTGAGCCCCCAATCGCCGCCCAAGCCGCGTCGTCGCCACCCAAGCCGATCGCCGCCACCCGGGAGCCGTACACCGTCGCCGCCGTTCCCGATTAAGGAACGCCGCTTTCCGTTCTAGCCGTTTTAGCCTAGAACGCGGTAAGTCATACTCTAATCCCGATTTAAGATTTTGGGTATCGCCGAACAATTTGATTTGGGTGAAATTGGACTTGTGCAGGTGCGAAATGTTGGGGCTTTAGACCAGGAATGTATGGCGGGCCTTAAGGAATTAATTTGGAATTTTTGGAGGGCGATTTGAGGGAATTTTAAGCTAAGAATCACTGTTCACGAGCTGTGATTCACTGTTCACGAGCTGTGATTCACTGTTCATGAGGCTGTGATGCTCGGTTCGGGACGCAAGTTGGATTTTTAGAACCGGTATTTAATGGCGAGAAAGTCCCATGAAGGGTCGGAATTAATCCGACGCCACTAGAACGCGGGTAAATCGTGCTCTAAACCCAAATTAGGACATAGGGTATCGACAGGCGATTTTGGGCGAAATCTGTATAAAGTTAGGTGCGGAATTGTATGAATTGGTAGTGGAAATTTTATGGCGGGCCTTAGAATTTAATTCGTGCATTAATTATTGGAAATTAGAAAATAATAGTGGCTGTGATTTACTGTTCATGGGGCCGTGATGGGCCGATCGGGACGCAAGTTGGATTTTTAGAACCAAGAAATTATGATGAAAAAGTCCCGTGAAGGACCGAAATCGATTTGAGGCCATTTGCTCAGAGAAAAATAATGATTTATGTGTTATACGTGCATTTGAATTACAATTAGGTTATGGTGGTGAAATTAAATGTGCGATTGCGCAATTGGTTGATTTAATTATGTTTGTTGGGTGCACGTTTGGGTCAGATTGATTTAATTGATAAAATTGGCCATGTCAAATGTTTGATGAGCATGGATTGCGTGTATTTGTTGTGTGCGTGGGCCACGTGTGACTGGCTATTTATGTGGCAAGTGATTGTTGAATGTGTGAAAGAACGAGAAATAGTGCGTGACATGACACATGCGTGATTGAGAGAATCATGCCATCCTGAGGCGTGTACTTCAACACGGGGCGATGCTCGGTATTACCGAAAGACTGCCAACCTGAGGCGTGTACTTCAACGCGGGTTGCGCAGTAGGTGGTAGATGTTGAGCCTGAGGTGTGTACGTTTACGCGGGCAAGAAACATGGCCTGAGGCGTGTACGGGTACGCGGGCATGAAGTGTTGTGAAAAGTGGTCGCAGTGTACTTGAGGCGTGTACTTCAACGCGGGTCACTGGCGAGTGATGTGGAGAGTGATTAATGGTCGCAGTGTATCTGGGGCGTGTACGTTTACGCGGGTCACTGGCGAGGAATGTGGAAAGTGATGATGAGAACGAAAGGAACGCACGACGTGGGAAATTGTATATGCGTGTGATTGTGTGTGATATGCATGTTGTTTGAAGATTTGACGCGTGTGAATGTGCTTTGTAATTGTCTGGAGGTACGTGATAGCCTAGGTTGGGTTTAGGGGTGAACTTACTGAGAAGTGTTCTCATGGTTATTTCAACCAAAAATTTCAGAATCCCGACAGGATCCATGAATCTTCTGCCACCGCCACCAGAACCTTTTGGAGTCCTCAGTGGATGGGACGGTATAAGGGGACTCAGACTCAGAGGACAAGGAATCAGACTCAGAATGGGTTTTTGGTGAGCACCATTTTTGGAGTAGTAGTAAACCCAGGTCTTCATCCTTGGAGTATCGGTTTTTGAGAAAGGCAGTGTGCATATACATGTATGGGACAGTTTATTAATGTAAATATTATGATATAAGAAGGAAATGAAAAAGATATGTTCATTCTCCCAATTCTTCCCAGTTTTATTTGTTCGGGTATTTCATGGTTTCCGTTTGCAAAATGAAATCTCTGATGTTTATTTGAGGTCGGCGACATTCCTGGGACATCGCGAAAATAAATCGACCAGTGGAGGATGTCGCGAGCTCGATAGGGTTCGGAGCGTGACATAAGATCTTAAGTTACACTTGTAATCCTCGCCTGAAGTAAGCTTTTGTGCATCCACTCTACCTTGAAGTTCCTTAGTTGAACAACAAGATCTGTTTTTTGAATCAGATATTGGATTGGAGCCTGCCAATAAGATATAGATTCCCCCGCTTTAGATTACCTACTAACCCAAAGAAATCCCATATCAAGTGACCGATATCCTTCTCAATTATTTTGTATAGTTACGACGTTTTGCCTTACTTCACAAATTTTGATTAACATTTTGTCGGTTAATGTGCGTGCTCTATCTTTCCTCTTCTTTTGTTAATTTTATTGAGAACAAATTATTCGCTCTGTGTGTGTTCTTTTTTGTTTATAATGAGTTTACTTTCTTTGCACACATCAATACTGGCTCTTCTTAATCATTCTAATCTACTCCAGTGTAACATCATTATGCTGGCGTCCTGATGGCAAGGTTGTTGTCTTGGGACTTGAAGACGATACAGTTTTACTGCATGATTTCGAAGTAAGTTTTCTATGTTGTTACTTGAATGTTACCATCATTACTTCTCAACTAGAAATTCCTACTGGAACAGTCCTTTTTTCATCTCAACGAGTTCTTCTCTGATCTCTCTTGGGAAAGATTCTGAATTACTCAAAATCTGCATGATGCAATGCAAACAGTAAACTTGCTCAGTGAACATTTAGCTGCTAATAGAGATGGCATTCCATTTTTATTGGTCACGTCTGTCAATGTCAAGTTAACAATGGATTGCTAGATAGGTTAATCTGAGCAGGATAAGATTAACAAAAAAATTTATTAGAAAACTCTATTCAAACATGACCCTTTTGTTAAATAGGTCAACAAATTACAAAAGATGAATAACCCGTTTGACTACTTAGATTGAATTGAATGGGTCATTCGAATCCTAACATGACCGACACAGCATCTGTACAATATGCATATTGTCATCAATGTCAAATAATTTGAAAAGTAACTAGTCGTAAGCTTACAAAATCCTAGGTTTACATGAAATGTTACATTTATATGGTGTGATCAAATTGTAATTTGTAACCATTATGGAAACAAAATTCATGTATGATTTACTATTAGAGAATTTACTGAACTAAATATAAACAGGTCATGATAGTTCAGGTTGTTAATCAAGTTGGCACTATTGTTTAGTTAGATAGATTACACGAGTCAATTTGCGTTTTGCGGTTTGAACTTTGAACCCGAAACAATATTCGTTTATTAATTGTGTTTCTATTAAGTAGGTAGCCACAATTTTGATATGACATGATAACCACTTAGGGTCACCCTTAGTTGTCACATGGAAATATGAGTCATGAGTCAAAAAATTAAATCTATGGATTGTGGATCGTGAATTCCATCCATTGGAATCATAAAATCTGATATAATGTTTGAGATTGGTATACCATAACAGATGTAAATTAATTGTAAAGTATGGTCTTATTTGTAACAGTCTGAATTTTCGATCATTTTCCCGGGATTTAAGAAATGAATATTTTGGCCAATGCACTTATAGTGAGATCTCACCCGGGACCCGCGCATTCTCGGGATGCTAACCTTAGGGGTAAGGCCAGTACGGGATTGAGTTCGCACGGCCAAAGAACTCGACCTGGGTTCGATCTTCGACCATATGGATTGACGAGGGAATGTTTTGAGCCAACCGAGACCGGTCTATTTGATTGATCGTGTCCAAAGGCACTAGTGACAGACCCTCGCAATTATATGACAATCGAGGTCGCCTTGGTTCGAGCAAACTTAAACGTGATTTGACTTAGTGTCGATCACAGGTCGAGAGCGCATAATCCCAATGAGCCACCCGTTAGCCAGAGATAAGCTAAAGTCGCGATTGCTCAATTTTAGTCATTTCTTGGAATTCGGGCCCGGGAATCGAGAATTTTGAAGGTGACAATTTTGAGCGGCCGATGACGTTTTTGGCTTGGCCAACCTTGGGGCCACCCATTTCTACAAAACAAAAAAGATTTTGGTTCGGGGCCAAAAAAAATTACGGTTTTGCCCCCATGGGCACCGAGGCTGGATTCTGAGGCCGTTTGAGTTTATTTTTCGCGGCCAAGGTCATTTTGGGGTGGCCACGCACATTTAGAGTGGTTTTGGCCAAAAATTGGAATTTCGACAAAAATTAGAAAAATAATATTATTTTATTCCCGGAACTATGCAGTCAATTTTCGAGGGCTTGCGCAATGAATTTCGCGATTCCGACACCATATTAGGTTGGCCACGCATATATGGAACGCGTATGTGTGAAAATTGGAATTTCGCCCCGGGACCGGAAAAAAAACGATTTTGCCCCTGGGCCCATTTCAGTTCCGAATTTTGGGAAATTATTTGGGATTATTATTATTGGCTTTTGAGCTGCATTATTGGGCCTTGGACACTTTTACACCTCAATTATTGGATTTGGACAAACCTAGACCGTCGGATCAAGGGTAAAATGGTCAAAGTGCGTAGGATCGCGACACGTGGCACTTGGGGCTGTCATATTTGACCAGCTGACTTCCACTCTCTCTCCTCCTCCCCATTCTGGCCAGAATACCCCACGATCAGCCCCCCTCCAACAGCTCTTTCTCTCTCTTTCTCCCTTTTTCTCTCTTGGTTTGGCCTCGCCGGAGCTTGCCGGAGCTCGCCGGAGCCACGCCGGCCGCCGTCGTCGCTGCTGCTGCCTTGTCCAGCCACCACCCACCAGTAGCACTGCCCCGTCTTGTCTCTCTCTCCCTCTTTTTCCCCCGTTCAGCGAAAGGAAAGCCAAGAACCGCCGCTTGGAGGCCGACCGCCGCCGCACCGGAGCTCGAACAGCCGAGCCGCTGCCGCCATGACGTCCAGCCTCGCCGCACGTCACCGCACATCTCTGTCCGTACGGTGTCCATACGGGGTGTCCGTACGTCGGCGTCCGTATGCCGGCGACGCCGCCGCCGCCGCCGCCGCCGCCTCCGCCGCCGCTGCTGTTCTGTTCCGCGCCGTTCTAGCCCCGTTTTGTCTCGCTTTTTAGGTAAGTGTTTTCCCCAAATGTCATTTAGGACCTCGGGTATTTCTAGACTCGTTTAGGGTTCGGTTTAAGTGATTTTAGGGACTGTTTGTGGCTGTTCCGTGGCTGTCTTCGGGACTAAGTTAGGGGCTGAATGTTTGGAGGTTGGGGGCTGATTGGGTGACGAAATTCGAGGTTTAGGAATGCTGAGTTAGGGCTGTGATGTCGAGGATTGATCGGGAATTAAATGGGTCATTAATTGGAAATGTATCGGCTTGATTGGGTTTATCGGATTAATTGTGTAGTTTGCTATCGTTGGCTGGTTCTAGTTTGTGCTTGGGCCGAATGTGATGGGGTGCTATGCCGTGTGTGTGGCCGTGAGGTGTGGTGGCGTGGACATGTGAATGTGCATTGAGTTCGTGTGCCAAGTGTGGGTGATTATGTGGTGTTCGTGCGACGAGAATGCGTGTTTGTGAAGTGTATGTGAGATGTGAATTTGGTGCGTGGCTATGTATGTGTGAGGCGTGTATGTTTGGCCATGCGAGTGCTAGTTGTGTGTAAGTGTGGTTTGAGCGGAACGAGGATATGGAAATGTGAATTGGTTGGAAAGGTCCATCCTGAGGCGTGTTCGTTTACGCGGGACGATGCCGTCCCTGACGAGGTGACGATGCCCGGCCTGACGAGGTGTCGATGCCTGACATGGTCAGAAGACCGTTGGCCTGATGCGTTTTACACGGGCGCGGTAGAAGGAAAGTGTGTGTAGGACTCCGTCCTGAGGCATGTATGTTTACGCGGGACGGTGCCGTCCCTGACGAGGTGACGATGCCCGGCCCGATGGGGTGACGATGCCTGACGAGGTTAGAAGACCGTTGGCCTGATGCGTTTTACGCGGGCGCGGTAGTGGTGGAAAGGTTGAGAATGAGCAAGAATTGGCGGGACGAGTGAAATTAAAAAAGTGACGTGTGGTGTGAGTTCGTGTGCGAGTGTGTTTGTATCGCGTGATGTGATGTTTAATTATGGGATAAAAACTGCTAGGCACGGTATGGGACGTGCCCAAGTGGGTTTTATTTTATAATTGAGACACGTGCGCGTCTGTGATTCATTGCTGCAATATGTTGGCTGTGTTATTGTCTAACGTGCAGGGGCGTGTATGTTGGATTCCATGTAGGGTCGTTGTAACAGTCTGAATTTTCGATCTTTTTCCCGGGATTCATGAAATGAACATTTTGGCCAATGCACTTATAGTGAGATCTCACCCGGGACCCGCGCATTCTCGGGATGCTAACCTTAGGGGTAAGGCCAGTACGGGATTGAGTTCGCACGGCCAAAGAACTCGACCTGGGTTCGATCTTCGACCATATGGATTGACGAAGGAATGTTTTGAGCCAACCGAGACCGGTCTATTTGATTGATCGTGTCCAAAGGGCACTAGTGACAGACCCTCACAATTATATGACAATCGAGGTCGCCTTGGTTCGAGCAAACTTAAACGTGATTTGACTTAGTGTCGATCACGGGTCGAGAGCGCATAATCCCAATGAGCCACCTGTTAGCTAGAGATAAGCTAAAGTCGCGATTGCTCAATTTTAGTCATTTCTTGGAATTCGGGCCCGGGAATCGAGAATTTTGAAGGTGACAATTTTGAGTGGCCGATGACGTTTTTGGCTTGGTAAACCTTGGGGCCACCCATTTCTGCAAAAAAATGGATTTCGGTTCAGGACCGGGAAAATTACGATTTTGCCCCTCTAGACCCCGATATCGATTCTGAGGCCGTTTGAGGTTATTTTTCGAGGCCAATGCCATTTTGGGGTGGCCACGGACATTTAAAGTGGTTTTGATCAAAAATTGGAATTTCGACGAAAATTGGAAAAATAATATTATTTTATTTCCGGAACTTTGCAGTCAATTTTCGAGGGCTTACGCGATGAATTTCGCGATTCCAACACCACATTATGTTGGCCACGCACATATGGAACACGTATGTGCGAAAATTGGAATTTCGCCCCGGGACCGGAAAATTACCATTTTGCCCCTGGACCCGGTATTGGGAATTCCGAATTTTGGACAATTTTGGGCAATAATTGAGGACTAAAATAAGTGAAAAAGAAATTGGAATTATTGATTTACCGCATTGCCCTTGCATTATTGGATTGGAACAAACGAGGACCGTCGGATCAAGGGCAAAATGGGAAATCGCGTAGGATCGCGACACGTGTCCCCCACCAGCCCACTTTTTTGACTGGTCTGATCTCTCTCTCTCTCCTCACCTCTCATTTTGGCCAGAACCTCCCACGTCCAGCCCCCACTTCCATTTTCTCCCTCTTTCTCTCTCAAAATTCTCTCTTTCTCATTCTCTTCATCTTTGTTTCCTCCCATCACCGTGGCTGCCGCCGCCGCTGCTGTTCCGGTCCGTTCCAGCCTCTGTCCAGCCCAGTTTGTCTCGCCTTTTAGGGTAAGTGTCTCCCCCAAAAACTACCTAGGACCTCAGGTATTGTTAGACTAGTTTAGGGCTCGGTTTAGACGATTTAGCGGCTGTTTTGGGACTGTGATGAGGGCTGAGTATTTGGTGGTTGTGGACTGATTTGGAGACTGAAAATAGGAGGTTTGGGAGGTTCGGATAGGACCGTGATGATACGGAATGATCACGGTTTGAATTCGTGTGATTTGGTGTGATTTTCGGATTTGTGACTATTGTACCTGTCCGGTTTGCTATTTTTATGGAGAATTTTGGGGGCAGAATTTGAAAAAGTTTTCTTCATGAAAGTTGTTCCCAACATCTTGAAATATAACATATTTTAATTTGGGAATTTTTGGAAATCATTTGATGCCATTCGGAAGTCCATCTTTGGACCGAAATAAAACTGCCCGATTTACTGTTCACCAGACCTTCGGGTCTGTTCGAATTTTTATAAATTTTTCCAGACCCATTTTGAAAATACTTCCTTCACAAAATTTGTTGGGGAAATTCGTGGCTATAACATATAAAAATTTCAAAGCTTTTCAAGGTGATTTGGGTATTGAAATAAATATATTTTGAGGACAAAACGGTCTGTTGGAGCGAGTTGATTTTCGTCTGACTTCAAGTGACCAAAAGAGGTGTTTCCAGTTGGAACTGAGTTTCGAGTTCTTCACAAAAAATGTTCAGCAAGATGTTTTACGCAACGTGTCCAAATTTTAGAATATTTTGAGTTCATTTACTATTTATTTTGATGGGATTTCGGTCACTGTTTAGGGTTCGGTTTAGGGGTTTATGTGGCTGTTTTGGGGGCTGAGATGAAGTCTGGTATTTGGTTGTCGTGGGCTGATTTGGGGACTGATTTGGTGAAGAATTGGTGAGGATTTGTAGGCTCGATGATGGCTATGATGTGTGGAGCGATTGCAGTTAATTGGTATAATTGATTGGAATTACTGTGACTGTTTAGAGACCGAATTAGAGGCTGGATATTTGTTGGTTACGGACTGATTTGGCAATGAAAAATTGAGGTTTAGTAGATTTGGATAGGGCAGTGATATTGTGGATCGATCGGGATTCATTTGTGTGATTGAGTGGGATTGTTATGGCTTGATTGTGCTTAATTGATCAATTATGTTGTTTGTGATTTGTTGGCTGGATCGGGATTATGTGTTGGGCTGAATATGGCGTGGTTGTGTCCCGTGTGTATGTGGCCGTGAGGTGTGGTAGTGTGAATGCGCATTGAATTCGTGTGTTAAATGTGTATGGTCGTGTGGTGTATTCGTATGACGAGAACGTGTGTTTATGAAGTGTATGTGAGATGTGAATTGGTGCGTGGCTATGTATGTGTGTGAAGTGTGTATGTGTGGCCGTGTGTAAGGGAGGCCGTGTGTGACCGTGTGTAAGTGTGGTTTGAGTGGAACGAGGATATGGAAATGTGGTTTGGTTGGAAAGGTCCGTCTTGAGGCGTGTACGTTACGCGGGACGATGCCGTCCCTGACGAGGTGATGATGCCCGGCCTGACGAGGTATCGATGCTTGACGTGGTCAGAAGACCGTTGGGCTGATGCGTTTTACGCGGGCACGGTAGAAGGAAAGTGTGTGTAGGATTCCGTCTTGAGGCGTGTTCGTTTACATGGGACAATGACGTCCCTGACGAGGTGACAATGCCCTGCCCGACGGGATAACGATGCTTGATGAGGTCAGAAGACCATTGGCTTGATGCGTTTTACGCGGGCGCGGTAGTGGTGGAAAGGTTGAGATTGAGCAAGAATTGGCGGGACGATTGAAATTAAGAAAGTGATGTGTGGTGTGAGTTGGGGTGCGAGTGTGTTTGTATCGCATGGTGTGATGCTCGATTATGGGGTAAAAACTGTTAGGCATGGTATGGGACGTGCCCAAGTGGATTTTGCTCTATAATCGGGGCACGCGCGCAGCTGTGATGTATTTCTGTGGCATATTGGCTGTGTGGTTGACTAACGTGCAGGGACGTGCATGATGGATTCCAGATATGGTCGCGTGTGATTGTTAGTTTGGTTGATAGATTGTGTGTTATGCGTGTTTTCGTCTGGCGGTACGTGAGTGCCTACGTGGGGTTTGGGGTTGTACACTTATTGAGATTCGTCTTACGGTTGTATAACCACCACTTTCAGACCCCCAGCCTTAGACCCAGGAGGCCCGCCTTCTCTTTTTGGAGTTTTGAGGAGTCGCCCAGGGAGCCTAGTGGAATTGCAGGCGATGCCTGGGAGGTCTTCTGGAGGATCGAACCAAGCGAAGTGGGAGCATGAAGGAAGGAGGTGACCCTTAGGTTTTTCCCTAGGCCATTTTAGGGGTTGTTTGATTTGGGTTATCCGATAGTGAAGTTAAGATAACCAAACCCTGAACTTTTGTTAAAATGGTGGTGGAGGATGTTCGTTTGTATTTATGTTTGTAATTCGATATTTGTATATTTGATGTTGTATGAATATGTGGTTGCTGGATTGTTTTGTTGTTCTACCCCGTTATCGTCATTATTTGTCCGGGGTTTTGTTATTCGCTTCCGCATGTGGCTCTGATGTTTGGGTTGGGTCGGCGACGTTCCTGGGACGTTGCAACAATTCGACCGGAGCAGGGGATGTCGTGAGCTCGTTGGGGTTCGGGGCGTGACAGTCGTGTGTGGTTGTTAGTTTGATTGATGGTCGCGTGTTATTCGTGTTTTCGTCTGGCGGTACGTGAGTTCCTACGCGGGGTTTGGGGTTGTACACTTATTGAGATTCGTCTCACGGTTGTATAACCACCACTTTCAGACCCCCAGCCTTAGACCCAGGAGGCTCGCCTCCTCTTTTTGGAGTTCTGAGGAGTTGCTTAGGGAGCCCAGTGCAGTTGTAGGCAATGCCTAAGAGGTCTTCCGGAGGATCGAACCAAGCGAAGTGGGAACATGAAGGAAGGAGGCGACCCTTAGGTTTTTCCCTAGGCCATTTTAGGGGTTGTTTGACTTGGGTTATCTGATGGTGAAGTTAAGATAACCAAACCCCTGAACTTTTGTTAAAACGGTGGTTTGGGGCTTTTATATGATGTTTATCTGTATTTATGCCTGTAATATGATGTTTGTATATTTGGTGCTGTATGAATATGTTGTTGTTTGACTATTATGGAGTTCTACTTCGTTGTCGTCATGTATTATGTCCGGGGTTTTTATATCCGCTTCCGCATGTGGCTTTGATGTTTGGGTTGGGTCGGCGACGTTCCTGGGACGTCGCAACAATTCGACCTGAGCAGGGGATGTCGCGAGCTCGTTGGGGTTCGGGGCGTGACATTATTTGTATTGTTAGGTAATAAATAATTATAAAGATACTTGAAATTTGACTAATGTTATTATTTCCAGACATGAGATATTGCTACAAATTATTTTTCTTTTATCAAATAAGTACCCATTTGACTGCAAGGACACAAAGATCGTGTACTAAGTATTGTAATTGGATTCCCATTCATAGAATTTAGTATTAGACAATTAGATCATCCACTAAGCCTGATGCAGCCAACAAAATCATGCAAGATGACTACCAAGTTTTGGTGAAGATTGACTTTGAAACTCAAACAAGGATCAGGATTCTTCTCGAAGTTTAATCACTAAAATTTAAAACCCAGGATTTGAGTATTGTTAGGATTATACGAAGTTTCCCTAATTTTTTTTTTGAAGTTTGAGTAGTAGGATCTTACATATACTCCAATTTTATTTCTTGTTTATAGGTTTCCTATTTCAACAAGGAGTAGAACTTCTAGAGAATCTAATAATATAGTTGTAATTTTTACTTTTCAATAGAGTTGATAATTTATTGAACTAGGCAAGTGTTTGCTTTGCATATTGTGTGATGCAATTCCTCTTTGGTGCAATGCTTAAGAAACCCTAGGTGTGATGGTTAGGCAGTTTTGCATGTGATGCCTAAATAAATGTAACGACCTGGTCTGACGAAAGGCAGGGAGTGATCACCGAAGCCAGAGAGGGCTCAGACAAGGAGCGGCTCCCGGCAGATTTCGCGGATGGCGAGGGGATTGCATTGCTCTTGTCCCACATTGCTTAAGGAGTGAGATTTTAGTGAGTTTATAAGGCTTGGCCCCTAGCCCTTGTGTAACGCGTTTTAAAACCATGAGGACTTAGTGTCCAAAGCGGACAATATTACACAAGGAGTGGCGCAGCGGAAGTGTGGTGGGGCTGAGGTCCTTAAAATAAATATTCTTTATTGTGGGACTCATTGTCCTGCATCAAAGCCATGAAATGTTTTGGACACTACATTGTTTGATGCATAAGTTCAATTATGAATCAAGGAAATTGATTGACTCATATCTAATCGGTGAAATCAGCAGTGAATTACTTTAATCACATACCATACAAAATTAATACACTCATTCAATAGATTTTATATACTTTAGGAGTTATCTGATTGATGTGTGCAATTGCATTCTCATGTAGGACAAATAATTTTCACCTCGCTGCTAATGTTGTCATCAATGATTGAAACTATTTCAATTGTCAACAACAAATTACGGCATAGTGTTTTCTGGGGTCCAGCTCATTGTGAGAGTCTATGGTCTAAGTGGATGGTGTCATATAGAAGCATCATCTGTGACATGCTCATTTTCATCAAAATTAATAGCTTCTGTCAATTATCAGTAAAATATGTTCAGTTTAGTCAAATTAGGAAGGTAATTATTTAGGTGACTCTTAAATGATATGATTTGGATCTGCCTCAATTATTCTTGTGGGTGGAAAAGTTTGTAAATAACTGGTTATGTTTTTATTAAGCTATAGCTGCTTGGTCATGAGTAAATTGGCTGAGAACTTGACTGAGGCTGCTGGAATTCTTTTTCTTTGAGATTTCTACCGGTTTATAATCAATCGTCCACTTCTGGATTATATTTTGCTGAGAAGAGAGTTTGTTTGTACATAATGAATGTTATCTTACCCAAGTAGCTATCTTTATGGAACTATGGATATGCGGTGTGCTGCTTTTGATATACTAGTGCTTGCAGCTGTTATGCACACTGTGGTATAATCAATCTAACAGGGTATATATATTAAGCAGAATGGAAAACTGTTAAGAAGCTTGGAGTCCCATATGGTAGCTGTGGTGTCTCAACTGGGAGGAGGATGCCTAATTGAATAGAGTATGCATCTTTCAACTTAAAATTTGATATGACTTCATGATCTTTATTACCAATAGCAGATATTTTATGGCTCACGCCTTTCATAATGCTTCGTTTCCAGTTAAGTAGTTATGTTAGTCTAGTTTTCTTAAATACTTCTTTTCAAACTTGGAATCTTATGTCACAGTCCAACAGCTTTAGTATGGGTTTATGGAAGATTTTTGGAAAGCGTTTGTTTGGTGTCATCTGTAACTTGTTGATTTGTTTGGCTCCTGAGCTTTAATCTCATATTTTTTCATCTTTTAATTTTCCAACTGGAAAGTAATTATTCATTTGTTTTATAGAACGCTTATGGTAACTTTTTGGCTTTTGAAGATCGCACTACTTGATTCTTCCCTCCAGCTCCAAAGTTCCTCGCATGCCTAGACGAGTACCTAGAGAGACGATGGTCAAGATTCATTTGTAGAGCCCTCAAATTCTTCAAAGCAATGTTTCAATATCCTTTGCAGTGGAGATAAAGATTGTGTTTTGTGCTTCAGTATATTTGGTGTCTTTCTAATCAGAAATATTGTAAGCGTCCTGTCTGTTCAAATCAAATATTTGGCAGTATGGTCTATCAGATTGAGTCGATGAGTCATTTCTCTGTTCTTGCTTCTCATTCAGCAGTTTTTCTTAATAAATGGATTTGATGGTAGACTGGTAGTAAATCAATATTGCCCAGGAAGTAATGGGCTGGTTAAGTAAACAATTATACTAGGTGATGTTATGCTTGTAAAAGTGCTAGACGTTTATGCCAATTCCCAGGCTAGATTTCACTTCTGTTGGTCACTTCCGAGATGACACCCTTCCAATTTTGATATAGAACAATTATATGAAGCTTTATGTTGTTTGGCCTGAGGTTAGCCAGACCTTACATGCTTTCTGCTCTACTCCATACCATTGGGTTTCTGCTCTGTTCTAGGAAGATTGAGAGAGCTTATGAAGATCTTCCCCTTTCGAGCAAGTTTAGTCAAACTTTCGTGCAATATGATATCGTAAAAGCAAGTGTGAAAGAATGTACAAAGTAAATGCAAACTTAAAGAAACTATTACAGAACTAAATAGCACACATATAATGAATTATCAATACTATAAAATTAAAAACGTAAAGTCATGGCATCGCCTTTTGGTGACCAAACAATTTTGTGTTGAATTCGATAAGATGGTGTATTTTGTTAGCAGATGTCAACTTATTGTGTCAAACTAATGATTGACAATTGTATATATCGATAGGTTGAATATATTAGTATCGCAACAATTAACGTGGTAAATATACCTAGTACTCTCCTAGTGGTAGATATGCATAGGCTGATATATTACAGTCATGTTTGATGCCTTTTAGGGTAGATGCATTTAAGGCAAAATACTCTTAACTTAACGAGCTAAAGTTGATTTGCTTTAGAGAATAATGCAGTTAAGCTCTTGAATTTAAAGTGATAAATTAGCACTCAAAGTATTGTAATTTAATACTATACAAAAAAGTGCTCGTGAAGCACTCCTTTATTTTTTTTTACAATCCACAATTTCAAGTATTGACATTTTAGTTTGGATCGTTGGTATATAAATAGCATTGATAATTCTTTTAGCTTGCAATGTTACAAGTGGATATAAGAATAAGCTTCTTACTATTGTAAAATGAAGTAATCGATACATTGAATTTTTAACATTTAACTCAATTCTTAATACAAATATTTTGACTGGAGTTGAGTCAATGTCTGAAGAGCTTTGTTTTGTTGAGTAACTAAATAAACAAATGCATTAAATGGTATCTAAATGGATGGACTCCATATGAAACATACAAATTGCTTCACATCTTGCACCAACCAAGTTGGATAACAATATTAATATGCTTAGGTATATTTTGGGTGGTAAGTAAAACCTATTTAACATATTTAGAGAATTAGGCCTTTTATATGGATGGGTATCGAGTTTGGCTAAAGTCACCGAACCTTCTCATTAAAAAAGTAATATCAATCTTTAGGCCTAATTTCCCTGGAAAATTGAACATATTTCCAGACAAGCATCGCATTGACTCGAGGGCGAGGGGCGAGGTCGAGAAGAATAATTTAATCAAAGATAAACGTACCAATATTACTTGTCCAGCTTGATCCGAAAGATGCTCTCCATTGTTTAGATTTGTTTGTGGGAGTCTCTATAGCTCAAAATGAATGAGAGTGCATCTCATCTTTCGATATCTCGAGACTTGCAATCACATTTTTATTACCGATCAGTTAATTAATTAGTACTAGAGCAAGATGTGGTTTATCCACTTTTGATTTGAGGAATTTAACTATCCCCTTTCTTGCTAACCATCACACGAAGAGTGAACAAGACCGCTTTAGGAAATATTTTTTTACATCAATATTTTGTGCTATAGTTACTCTAATTTATTATGTATCAATGTAATGAACATTGTCTAAGAAGATGCTTACAAAATATATACGAGGAATCAGTCCACCTAGATCAATTCAATTATTCAGCTCACTAGCAAAAAGGGGCACCCAAATATGTGCTCGATTTAGATTTGGATTATCCAGGGTAATGAATTCAATTTGCTAAAGGGCCAAAAACATTTGAACAATTTTTTTTATCAACATTTGATCAATTTAACAAATATCTTTTGGACAGGATTTGTCATTAAACAAACTATAAGGATTAAAATCAAACATTTACAAGAATGCGATGATCGAAAGGGTACTTTCTTAGATGGTTTTGTGCATGTAGGCACCATATAAGCTTGTGCACTCTCTTTCTGACGTTTACTCGAAAGTTTTCTTATACGGTGGGCGCTTCCTCTTGGAGGCCCACAGCAATTTGGGTAGAGATCGTACAAATTATTCAATGGACGGTCCAACTTCAAAAGACAACAACTAGAAGGTCGTCGAAATTGTCATTTTTTAAAATTATTTTTCAAACTGGGTTCCAGCTAGATAAATGGCTGGTAAACTTTGGGTGTATGTGACTTTTATTATCAGGAGTCGGTGGAAGATGTGATGGGGATGGATTCAAATACATGCTAAATCATACGTCATCAGTGACGTCTTCTCTTGAATCGCACTACCATCTGTTCTCGGCCTTTTTTGTATTATTTTAAAAGTGTCGATTTTCGAGAAAAATCAGATTGAAGATTGAAAATAGTAAACTCTCCTTATTTGAATATTAAGCGTGCTACATGTATTTATTAACAAAACCCAATCTGACTGATATGGTTTTGCCATTTTCGTTTGGATCAAATATGTTTTTGTCATTGGCTCATGTACGTTAGCACCTAGAGCATGTGAATATTGCTTGTTAGTTTTTTTTTTCATTAATAGAAAGTGGCCTGACATTATTTTAATGAAGGGGTAGGAATTCTCTAGAAAGACATTAAAAGATTTCCTAGACATTGATAAAACAAATCAATAGCAGCTGTTTGAACTAACCCCTAAAAAACGATTTTTTTCGGCAGCCGACAAATTAGACAAGGACTTTGTTTACGCCAATCCCTGACGAATGAGCTGTAAGAAAGGCAACCCTTTTTACATTATTCTAAAGTCAATTTGCCAACTTGTATAATATAGTTTTCTACTTATTTTTGTCTGTATTTACGCTTCGCATCGAGGCATCTTCAAGCGGAATCTTCTTTCCTCCAGTAGAAACACATCGTACGTACCGCAATTGAAAGGAGTAGCTATTATTCGACCAAAAAAAATAGGAGTAGCTATTACTGAACTCCATATCAACAAAGTGTCCTGCAGACATTTATTAACTAGAACTCAGCTTTGTTCAAGCATGCACCAGAGAGTGTTCTGTGTTGGTAATCCAAATTCCATAGCGATAAGGACATAGGAAAAAAAAATGGAAGCCATAAATGAATCGCAGAAAACTGAATTTCATGGAGCCACAGTTCGTCGTCATCATCACTTGGATCCAAATTCTAATATTCTGCTCTTTTTGGGGGTGGGAAACGACGTGCAAATTTCTTTTTGGATCGTTCACAGAACATGCTGAAAGATAGCAGAAACCCATGATTGCTAATTAAAAGACACGACACACATACACACTCTCTCTAACAGAGAGAGAGAGAGAGAGAGAGAGAGAGAGAGAGAGAGAGAGAGAGAGAGAGAGAGAGAGAGAGAGAGAGAGAGAGAGAGAGGAGACAATAGGAATGAGGCATATAGAGAGTGCTTGAGAAACCATGCAGCCAGCTTGGGGAGCTATGCGACCGACAGGTGCAGCGAGTTCACATCGGATGATGCCTCACCGGGCAGCCTCCAATGCGCGGCGTGTGGCTGCCACTGCAATTTCCACGGGAAAGTGACCTACGCCACCGCCCACGCCAACAGCAGGGGGCTGATGATGTGCTGGTCGGGTGGTGGGACAATGTCGAATTGGCCGGATAGACTCAATTGGCAAAACGTAAAAATGTCAAGAACTCAATTGGTACAATTAAAAAATTTAGCACTAAATTGGTAAAAATGCAATGGGTTTATGACTTTTTTGGTAATAATCCCACAGTAAATTCATATAGGCTTATATACCACATTCGTGTTTGATGCCTCCTAGATTAGATGCATTTTAGGCATAGTTCTCTAACTTACGAGCTAGAGTTGATTAGCTTTAGAGAATAATGCAATAAGCTCTTGAATTTAAAGTGATAATTTAGCACTCATGAAGTAGTGTAAATTAATACTATAAAAAATAGTGCACGTGAAAAAGGGCACACAAATGTGTGCTTGATTTGGATCTGCATTATCCAAGGAATTGAATTCAATATGTCAAAGGGTAAAAACATTTGATCAATTCAACAAATATATCTTTGACAGGATTTGTCACTAAAATGAATTATAAGGATTCAAATCGAACACTTACAAGAATGCGATGGTCGAAAGGGTACTTTCTTAGAAGGTTTTGTGCATGTAGGCGGCACCGCATAAGCTTGTACACTTTCTTTCTGACGTTTACTCCAAAGTTTTCTTATACAGTGGGCGCTTCCTCTCGAAGGCCCACAGCAATTTTGGTAGAGATCGTGCAAATTTTTAGATGGACGGTCTAACTTCAGAAGACAACAACTACGAGGTTGTGGAAATTGTCGTTTTTTTAATCATTTTTCAAATTGGGTTCCAGCTAGATATGAATGGCTGATAAACTTTGGATTTATGCGAGTTTTATTATAAGGAGTCGGTGAAATTTTGGCTCTTATTTTAAGGGGAGATTTTTCAAAGGGTGTTTTCGGTGGAAGAGTGATGGGGATGGATTCCTATGCCCGTAAATCATTCGTCATCAGTGACGACTTCTCTTGATTC